CAATGGCCAAAGACTCAGGAGAAGGAGCAGGGCTGCTCTCCATGGAAACGATGGCTGCTGATGATTTCTCATCATCATCCACATACTCCATGCCCATCATCTCTGCTGGCAAGACAACCCTCTCCAGCACCAAGTCGATCTTCACCTGATCCTGCTTGGACAGCATCCTGAACACTTTAGTTTTCAAGCCAGGGCTGAGCTTGAGGCTTCGCAGCATGGACAACAAAATCCTCAAGGTAAGGCCGCACTTGTCAATCATATCCTCAGTGGTATGGCCTTTGGGCATTGAAGAAAACTCTAAGTCCCTGTTTGTATTCATTGCCCTGAGGGTCGCACTCAACTTGGTAGGAGTGAGCTTTGTGTTTGGACACACTTTCACCAAGTCAAAAAGCAAAGCGGCAACTTTGGACAACCACTCTCCATGAGGAGCTGTGTGCCATCCATAGGACATAGGGCCAGTGGGGGGTGGGCAGATCAAACTCCATAGATCCTTCTTCTGCTTGAACTGCAAGAACCCTGTGAGGGCACCTTGGATTGCAGTCACTGGGATGCTGGGGTCAGCCACCAATCGAAACCTCCCACTTTGCTTCAATGACCTCTCCTCTACAGCAGCTTGCATCTTTACCTGTGCAGCTGCTTCCAAAGCAGCCATGGTCACAAACCAAATAGAGCTAACAGCAACTCACAGAGCCAAAAGATCTCTCACATAAAACATGCACCCTCACACTGGCAAAAACCATCAGAGAATCATATCCTCAAGTAAATTTACTCCCTCAAGTAGACACCCTCAAGTAAAAATGGTTTGTTCAAGTCAAGAAGGGTACACATGCTCAAGTAAATGCAATCCCTTCAAGTAAAGGCAAAGTCCACACCTCCTGGCATGCTCAGTCAACAAAAACAAAAATCCATAGCGCAAATATCCTCAAGTACATGTTGTCCTGTAGAAAACCTGCCTCTTTGGAGAAAGCCAACTCACATAAATTGAGACATTTTCTGCTTCAAAATCATGCTCACACAAATTTATTCATAACCTAAAAAAATTTACTAATGACCTAAATTGGATTTACTAATAACCTAAATTGGATTTACTCATGACCTAAATTGGATTTACTATTCAATTTACGTAAATTTTTACGTAAATTTTCCTTAGTAAAACCAAAAATTTACGTAAATTTTATGGTTAGTAAAATTACTAATTTGGGTGACTTAGGGCAATGAGCGGCTGCTGAGGATGGTGAGTCTGGCAGGCGGAGGCTCTGATCTACTGGAGGGCATCCGCAACGTGAGATGCCAGGTGTGCAGCATGGTTCAACCGCCGGGGAGTAAACCACAAGTGTCTTACACCAAGCCCACCAATTTCAATCAGAGGATCAGTGGCGACGTCTTCTACGTGTGGGACATCAAGGGGGTCCGCTATGCGGTGGTGCACTACATCGACGAGCTCACCGACTACCATGTGGGGGCGCTGGCTTTTGAACCTAGCTCGGACTGGGCCGCGGAGACGCTCTGTCGGCTGTGGTATGATGTCTTCGGGCCACCAGATCTGCTGATCACGGATGGTGGAACAGAATTCCTGGGCTCCATCACCCGCCTCAACGACATCTTCGCAGTGCAGCATGAGGTGGCGCCGGATCAGGCCAAATGGCGCCTAGGCCATGCCGAGAGACACGGCTCGATCATTAAGGTCATGTTGGTGAAGATGATCCAGGAGCTGCGGATTGATTCGCTCAAGGACATGCAGACCGCAGCTTGCTCATGTTTCGCCTCCAAGAACCGCATCGTCGGCAAAAATGGAGTGGCACCGATCCAGGCGGTGACCGGTCGCAACACCTCACTACCGGGATCCTTACTGGCCCAGATCACAAGTGGGAAAGTGAAGTTCAGAGCCAATGAACAGCTAGCACAAGAGGAGGCCCTGAGGAGGAGCGAGCGCATTCGTGCAGCGGCCATTGAGGCCTGTCACTGGTTGGACTCGCACGAAGGACTACGGCGCGCATTGGCGGCACGCTCAAGGCCACCGATGCTGGAGTTGCTGCGAGAAGGTGCCGTGGTGTACGTGTACGACCCTCCGGCAAATCGTCGAGGTTTGGCGAGGAGACTGCAGGACAATGTGTCTTGGAGCGGACCTGCCGTGGTCGTCTGTGTCGAGAGGGATGGAACGGTCCCAAAGAAGGTCTGGGTGAGGATTCGAACGAGGGTCAAGGCCTATCCCTTGGAGAAGATCAGGTTGGCCACCGCGGACGAGATGATGAGCGCGGACTTCATCGTCGGGGCCCTCAAGGATGTGGAGGCCGAGATCACCCAAGGTCGAATGCCAGTGACGGACTATGACGAGAAGAAGGACACCGACACGGAGGAGCAGAAGGCGGAGGAGCCCAAGGTCAAGGGCTTGCGAGAAGAGGTTGAGAAGAAAAGAGAGCTGACTCATGATGTGCCGGAAGCGCTCAGAATCCCAGAGGAGGTAGAACCGCATCTGCTCCCCTTCAACAAGAAGCAGAAGCTATTTGAGCAGCTCGCCAAGGACCTGGGAGCCCCGTCAGCGATGCAGGAGGCCGAAGTGAGGAACAGATTGGAAAATGCCTATGGACACCTTAAGAAGGTGAGAAAAGACCTGAAGAAGGAGCAGCGAGACAAGAGACGCGAGGCATCGCGAGCAGCTCCGGCGACGCCATCGAGGGCAGCACCATCCACTCCGGCCAAGGCACCATCCAAGTCGTCGGCAAAGGAGACCCACTATGTGGAGGAGTTCGTCGCGGAGGAGAAGGTGGACTATGGCGTGCTATGGTCAGAGATTGAGACCCACGCTTTGCTCTGGGAGGCGACAGAGGAGGAGGATCCCAAGCTCCTGCAGGTGATTGAGAAGGGCGAGAGCTTGGCAGCCGAGGAGAGCAAGGCGGTCTTTGAGGCCAAACTGGTGACCGGGAAGCTCAGGGTGGAGTACCAGTGGCGCCAGCTGGATGAGAACTGGCGCAAGGCATATGAGCAGCCGCTGATCAAAGCTGTGCAGGTCTATTTCGAAAATGATGCCATCACCGGGGTGGCCAAGGACGCCATAGTCGATCCTCGGAAGATCTTGAGCTCGAGATTCGTGCTCACAAACAAAGGAGGAGAAGTCCTGGCAGAAGCAGAGCTCAAGGCCCGCTGGATTCTAGGAGGTCATCGGGATGCAGAGGCTGGAAAGTACCCGACCCTGGCTCCTACGGCTAGTCTTCTGGGGCACAACCTCCTGAACTTTGTGGCGGTGCAGATGGGGTGGGAGGTGCACTATGAGGACGTCTCCGCCGCGTTCCTCCAGGGACAGCCACTACCGGCAGAGCGTGAGGTCTATGTCAGACTTCCGACGGGTTACCCCCAGGCGGTCACCGAGCACATCATCGGGAAGGTGGGAACTCAGTGCCAGGGAGACCTCTTGAGACTGCTGAAGGGAGGTTTCGGGCTATGCGAGTCACCCCGACTCTGGTACTTGGAGTACAAGGCCACCCTCAAGAGCATCGACCTCCATGAGCTGAAGCTGATCCCCGGCATGTTCGTGGCGCACCATCCAGATGGACGTCTGAGAGCAGTGGTGACCATCCACGTTGATGACACTCGGTATGCGGGTGATGAGAGTGCCGAGGAGATTTGGGACAAGTTGCACGAGCGGCTGAAGTTTGGGCAACATCGACGTGCCAGAGATGGATGGCAGAAGTTTTGCGGACGCTATGAACGGCAAGACCCCGAGACCTTGGAGTTCTACTACACGATGGCCGACTACATCGCCAAGATCCCGGAGATCCTGAAGGAGGAGTGGAACCCAAGGAAAGGTGATCTCACGGAGCGTGAGAGAGTGAAGATAGGCTCCATCCTGGGGCAAGTCAATTGGGCCGCCCGCCAAGGAAGATATGATTTGAGCTATGGGGTCTCTCACTGCCAACAGCTGGTGGCCACTGGGAAGCGAGAAGCCATGGAATGGACAGCAAAGCTCATCCAGAGGGCCCAGAAGGAGGTGGTGGTGAAGTTGCCGAAGCTGGGATGCGACATGAGCGACCTCATCGTGATCTCCGCCAGCGATGCGGCCTTTGCAGCTCAACCTAAGGGGCACTCCCAAGGGGGCGTCGTGTGCATGCTGGCACACCCCAATGTGCTGGAAGAGAAGGCACCGGTGGGGATCGTGGAGGCCCAGAGCATGAAGATCCAGCGGGTGGTGAGGTGCTCGATGAGCGCAGAGCTGTCGATGGCCGCGGAGAGCTTCGAGCACGGAGACTTCGTCAGGGCCGTCCTCTCCGAGATCGTCCATGCGGACTTCAGCTTGCCTCGGTGGAAATGGTACGCCAGCCGCTGGAAGCACTACTTGGTGATTGACGCCAAGACCGGCTACGACGTCCTGGCCTCGGAGAGCATGACCAGCGACCGAAAGATCCTCATCGATGCAGCCGTCCTCCGCGAGGCCTTGATCGAGGAGGGGGCGGAGAACTTCGTCCGGTGGATGCCCGGCAAGGAGATGGTGAGTGACGGGCTCACGAAATGGAGCGACAACGGAGTGTTGTTGCAGGTCCTCAGAGAGGGCCTTTGGAGCCTGGTGGATACAGCTGAAGCCAGGCGGCTGCGGCAAGAGGCCGCGGAGCGCAAGAAGCGCTATGTGCAGCAGACTCGAGCGGACCGTTCGGCACCATAGGGGGTTTGTGTGAAACGGAACCGGCCCCGCCGACGGTCCCTCGATCGGAGCTGCAGGGCTCGAGCGGTAGAAAAGGTTCGGTCGCTGCCACGTTTAAGTATAACACTACTGTAAATACAAAGACTGCTGGGCACTCACGAGTGCTTCGCTGAGCAACTGACTAGACAGAGGCCATTTCTGAGGGTGGCGCCGCTATGGCTCATGCTGTGTAGAGCCATTCCGAATCCGACTTACCCGTGTTTCCTTGCGGGCTTTGCGTGCTGCCCTGTTTCTGATTTATGCCCACATCGTTGGTTTTGCCATGTTCTCAAACGTTACCACACATTTCTCGCTGGTGTGCCCACAGGTGGCCAATGGCAGGTGCGGGGGCCAGCGGTCCGATCCGCACGACCTCCAATCCCTCAAATTAAACTGTAAATCAAATACTCATTTGAGTGGGAACTGACCATTTTTTAACCGGATTTGCTCATTCATCGACCATTTCACCGTTAGGATCGACGATCGATCCTTGGAAGACGTGTTCCTTTTCGGTGTTCTCCAAAAACACACGCAGTCCACAGACCCACGGTGGTGATGGCGTGGAGCGGCAGCCTCCATGAGGTGTAATTTAGAGACTCTTGATTCATCAAACCCCCATGCGGGAGAGGTAGAATTTTGGGCTACAATCCTCATGGGTTTATTTTGTATAATCCGGTACAAGAAAGCAGATGTTGACCTTTGCCGTGTTCTTTTTCTGCTCTTTTTCTTGGAGCTGGGCGGTTCCCCACGGCCCATCTCGATCGGTTTGCGATGAAAGGCGTCGACAGGTGGACTCCGAAAGCACCGTGGAGATCCGTGACATCGGAGCACCGATGTCGCAATTATGCTCCGCATCGATGTCGCCGAATTTGGCCCGTGGAGATCGAAGCGTCGCTTTGGAACACGAAGCACTGAAGCACAGCCGTCATGCCGTGTAGCCAGGGTGGCCATGCCTCCACTGCGCCTCAGTGCAATTGACCCGAAAGAGATTCGGGCCAATGGGTATGGACACCCAGAGGTGCACGGACAGGGAAAACCGGACCGTCTTAGATTGAGATGGATGTCCGTGAAAACAGTTGGGACTTCAAAGGACTCTCTTGAAGATATTTGAACACCAAAACACACCAAACATTTGTAGATCTCCTGCTTATAGATACATAGGAGTATACATAGGTTATTATGGTTTATTGTTCACAAATAAACAGGGCAGTGATGATCAACATCAAGGGAGATGTGTCCCTAGCATGACTGACACCGTTTTCTTGGACCTTGGCTTGATGACCACATATCATATGACCACCGGTCGCGTGGGTGATTCTTTCGGTGCCTTTTTCGCCATTCGGTGGGTCACCAGGGTCGTCACCGGTTTCCTTTTGTGGGCGGATCTCAGGCAGTGCACGGGAATGCAAGGTCTGTCTCTCTCTCTCTCTAATTAGTACTGTATATACATTGATTAGTTAATTTTTTTTACAATCAACTAAATTTACACAGATTTAGACATGTATATATAAGGAAAAGGACACCTACGTAGTTCCAAAGGAATGTTTTTTTAAGGAGTCGGCACGTCTTCGCCTCCAAGAGGCACGTCTTCGCCGGACGACCGACCCGACCCGACCGGGGACCGAAACGACCGGGACGGAGTCATTTCCGGCGAGAAGTCCGGGACGACCGGCGCATGGACGTCCGGAACTCAAGATAGAACAAGGCATCAGATCATTGGTGCCATGACCGAATGCTGCTGTGCACCCTTCCTCTGGAAGCCAGTTCCTGACTGGAAGCCGACACCTGGTGGAAAGAACATCATTTTAATCATTTTTAGTGTTGTTTTAGAGGTCGGGTACTGTGTCAATGCAAAGTCATACAACACGTGCGTTGTTTGGAGCATTTTCTCTTCAGCTTTCGACTTGCAGCCTTCAGTTTTCCGGGTTGCAACAAGTGCCACGTCATAGTAGCACCAAGGGTATGTCAATAGACTTTTTTCTTGCCTCATGTTTAGACCTGTGCCGCGCAAAGCTGTAGAACTCCGCCAGGTGGAACCTTCAACACACCAACATACACCAACTCGATATCTTTGTGGCGCCGCATCACGTCAACCCGTCCGCGAGGACACCATGAGGAGTCGGTCCGTCCTCTTCCTCCGTTCGCTCGCTCGCTCAGCTGAGGACACGACAGGTGTCCTGCTTGGAGGAGGACGAGACCCTCTCCCCCTCTCTGCGCAGTGGACCTGTGAGCCCAAAAGTGTCGCTGCAGCTGCTGAGGGACGGCAACGCGCGATTTGCCACGGGAAGATCCAGGAACACAGCAACGAATCTGGGCGGTTGGGATGGACACCGAGAGGGTGATGTGGGGTTTCTATGGGTTTGGGCCAAAGGTCGCCGGTGGTTTCTATATGTTTTTTTTTCTTCAAGCCAGGGTTGGCAGCGTCGATGTCCTCAGAAACGCTCCGGGTTCAACTCACCTGTACCTGGACAACACGTTTGTGCTAAACGTGTGGCGCAGTATGTCTACTGTTTGGGTTCCACTCGGGAAAACGGTTTTGGGGTCTTGGATGGACCCCTTGCGCAACGTCACCGTCAACGTGGACCATAGATGCAAACCCCATGACTTTTCAATCAACCATCAACCGGTCTACTGAGATGGTTAACGTGGACCTTGCCTGGTCTAATTACGTTGGATGCTGAAAAATGCAACGTTAAAGAACATGGTACCTGAGCCATCCACGCACATCATTGTTTTTTTCCACACGCTCGCCGGTGTGGCATGGTCTTTGGTAAGTATTGTAAAGTGTGTTAGGCCTTTGTGCTCAAACACTGTACTGCGGCCCCACCACACTTTTAAAGCCTTCACGTGAAAGAGCCTCTCTTCCAAAACAATTACAAAACACTATATGTCTTTGCTTAAAGAGGGTGTAGGAGGTGTAATAAAAAAAGACTCTTTCAAGGCCTTCCGTCCTTTATCCATCATGGCAACACCCTGTGAGCCAAATTGCTCTTCACCCCACCTACTCAGGACCCCACTTTAACGTGGACCCCTGCACTAACATTGAACGGACATGATTTCTTTTTCTATAGACTGTAAGTAAGAGTATGTGTGTGTGTTTGTTATATTATATATATATCCTTTTTCTTGACCCCACTTACTTTTCAACGTGGACCCCTGCCACAACATTTAACGTAGCACCTGCAAGGGGGTGGTATACTTCCCAGCTTCAGGTGCCTCGGTTAACCTAACAGCAACACTTACACGTTAAAGAATTCTGTTTTGAGACCGGTGAATATCCCTAAGAATCCCCAGCAATTATGCTAGCTCGCAACCGGCCTGTGGGGTGCTTCGTCCTACTTTTCAATTCCCGAAGAAACAGCGAGAGAGAGGTCCAAAGTACATTAACATAGCACTCCGGCAGCTAGGGTCTTGATATAATGCAATTTTAAGTTAACATGCGTAAAACAAATTCTTTTTTAACACACATTATTCTTCGGGAGCGGAATATAATTTTGTATTGCTAACCTTCTAGCTAACTTGGCAGGTTCACTCAAGAATTTCTCAAGCTTGGGAGTCTACTTGTAAGGCATGGGAGCAACCTTTCACACATGGTGTCTTTGTATTTTTTGGAAATAAAAGACATGAAGAAAGACACAAACAACAGAATAAAGGTCTAAAGCTCCAAAGAAAGAAAAGTACAATGAAAAAGCAAAACAAAGGATGGGACTGCAGATCACATATCATTTGAGACTGCAGATTGTATTTTTCTCTGACCATCAGCATCATTGAGGGGTCAATACACACTTCTGAACCCCGAGGCTGGCAGGGGAGGATCCTAGTAATGTTTTGTCAAAGATCTGTCATAAGTAGCTTCTTGCTCCGTTCGTAGCGATGCCCTTTGCTCCTAGTAGCATCCGATCGCTCCTAGTAGTAAGGCCAAGAGCCCGTTCGTAGCGTCCGATCGCTCCTAGTAGTAAGGCCAGGAGCCCGTACAAAACGTTATTTCTTTCTAACTCTGCGCAGTATGACAGTAAGACATTCCTTTTATGGCACATGCATGTTTGTACATGTCACTGTCGAGGTCAATTCCCCGCAGATTTGCGTTTGTTCAGTGGCTCATGAGAAACTCCACATGGATTTATGAAAATATATTCAGTTTTTTTCTGATGCAGTGTTTTGCGACCGGTAAAATGCAGCGATTCGGTGAGTCAGAACGTGTCGGGCGAATAATTTCTTTCACCTGGTCTGGGTGCACCATGGTGCACCATGGTGCACCAGTGTTTGAACCCGGTCGCAGCCACTGTGGGAGACGGAATGTTCCGACACATGGACCATGGATAATGAATGATATAATGATATTACTAAGTAATATTATATCATATCATATAGTGGATATTGTATACTGTATTACTATGTTCATGTTTGTATATCCATTATTACAGTCTATTTTTAGTAGCTGTATAATATACTATTTGATAGGAACATCTCGCAGTATGGGTATTGGCAGCGGTAAACTGTGAATCCCAGTACTTCCCACAAACTGGTCATATTGGCAGCAAGGTAGAATCGGTTCCATACAACAGCACAACTATACAGCCATGTGGTCCAAAAGAAGAGTGCCCCTGGGCGCATAGAACCAGCAGGTTCTTTTCGAGTGAAGGGAATCCTACCTAAGTCCTTCGGAGACCGGAGTCGGAGTGTCTCCCAGGAATGAGGCGACTCGGAAGCAGCTGGAGATCACTGGCGAGGCTCCCCACTGCGCCATCATCGGCTGCGCGGACGCCCGCGCACCCTTAGAGACGATCTTTGATGCCATGCCAGGTGCCGTGGACGCCGAAACACACGCATGGATACACCCGATCACGCGCTACGCGCAAAAAAAAGGTCTTCAACCAGTGGGTGAAGATGTCCTAGATCCCAAAAGACGTTGATTTGGCGATCACCCAAATCAGTGGAAGACCCAGAGATGAGCAGATCATTTTTCATTTTTTTCACATCCATGGGTCCGGTATCATTATGTTCTCACTATGAGATGCCCAGATGCCGATCCAAAGGTTATATATTTTGTAGCACTTGCCTTGAGAAAGACCCATTTAGATTCAGATATGGATTTTCGGCAATTTGTGTGAAGATGCGTGAAGTGGGAATCATCGTTGTTGGTATTGGTGTGTCACTTGAAGTTCATGTATTTGAAGGTGATAGAAGATCTGTCCGCTTCATGGCTTCATGGCCACTTCATGGCTTCATGGAGAATGATGGAGCCTTTTTCGGAAGGTCGAGGACGCCAAGAAATCCAACCCAAAACATTTCCAGCATCGAAGGAAGGGACCACGAAAAAACTCAAATCCATGAAGAACATGTGGTGGCCAATATCTTGGGCCTAAGACCTTTTTTTCCCGAATGCGTAGCGAAGTGTTCTCGTTTAACTCTGGGGGTCTGGGGGTAGAGTCTTGTTCGCGACCTGTGGTTGACTTTTGGGGGAAGTCTCGTACGAAACGCTCGTTTTGCAGACTTTGACATGTGAGTTTTTGAGGAAGTCTCGTACGAAACGCTTGTTTTGCAGACTTTGACATGTGAGCTTTTGAGGAAGTCTCGTACGAAACGCTCGTTTTGGAGACTTGACACGTGACTTTTGGAGAAAGTCTCGTACGAAACGCTCGTTTGGGAGACTTGACATGTGATTTTTGGAGGAAGTCTCGTACGAAACGCTCGTCTTGGAGACTTGACGTGTGACTTTTGGAGGAGGTCTCGTACGAAAAGCTCGTTTTGGAGACTTGACGTGTGCCTTTTGGAGGAAGTCTCGTACGAAGAGTGCCCTACAAGAGTGTCCCACAAGAGTGTCCTACAAGAGTGTCCCACAAGAGCGTCCCACAAGAGTGTCCCACAAGAGTGTCCCACAAGAGTGTCCCGCAACAGTGTCCCACAAGAGTGTCTCACAAGAGTGTCCCTTAAGAGTCACAAGAGTGTCCTATAAGAGTGTCCCACACGAGTGTCCTACAAGAGTGTCCCACAAGAGGTTC